CTTATTATAATAATAATAATAATAAAATCAATAGTAATACTGATAGTAATAACAATAGTAATACTGGTACGCTGTGATAGCCAGGAAACCATTCTCAACTAGGTGAAGTCGGAAAAGTCATAGAAAGTGCCCTTCCGAACAACACAACGTCAGGCCCCTGAAGGGATTCGAACCCATGATCTTACATCTGGGAGCCCAAGACCCTAACCATTAGACCACCAACGCCACAACCATCAATTACCACCCTTTGTCTGTTCTGGCAGCTGCTTGTTTGATCTAGTTTGGCTGGCACTAAAATTCGCGCCTTTGATTGGAATATACGATAAGCGTCAAAATACCGTACGCCCTGTGGTGATTTTGTTCCCCCAGGGTTGTATTCTTCACATTTTAGAATACTTCTAGTACGAAGATCTCTTTGAAAGTTTCAGTATTTCTCAAAAAATCATTTTGACAGACTGCTATGCAAAGCGTACGGATCGGGTTAACGAGTAAATTTCCTCTTTGAAAGTGGCGCAGAGTTCCCCACGTCGTATGGATACGTTAGTAAAACACGACGTACAGGTAGGATTAAGTTGCGTTGTTGTCTACTGATAATAATGAATTGACTCCGTTTTCTTTTTTAAAATATTGAGTAGGTGGCTGACGGGTGCTCTGGTGTGGTCTGCTCCTTCTTTCCTATCAAACATCTATCGTCCTTATCTCTCCTCCTCTCTTTTTTGTTTGTGTTATTCTCTTGTAACACATCTATTCTTTGGCACTTATATGACCTTATTGTGTTGCAAGTGCCGTAAAACTCTTACTAAAACAAAAATAAAATATTGATTAATGTTCCTGCCGTTATCTTCAGATTCTGATAACAATGTTATTGCAATTGTTAATCTGATAATGATGTTTATGATGGCCCCTGGCATCATTCAAATAACAAAAACTGTTAACGGCCTAAAAAGATAATGATCTACTGCATCAAGCTCGTCGTCTCCTTCCCTCCCTCCCCCCTCTCTCTCTCTCTCTCTCTCTC